CCCCCGGGAGATTGGTGTTGATCCCCCGTCATACTCCAGCTCTGCCTCTAACATAGAGGGCGGAGTTGTCGGGTTCAGGAGTTCCTCAAAGTGTTCCTTCCAACGCCCTAACACTCCATCAGTTGAGGTCAACAACGTCCCATCCTTACTGTACACAGCTTGGATGGTTCCCTGCTTCCCCCTCCTGAGGTGTCGGACAGTTTTCCAGAACAACTTTGGTGCCGCCCGAAAGTCCTTCTCCATGTCTTCTCCGAACTTCTCCCACACCCGCTGCTTTGCCTCGGCCACGGATGAGGCTGCTGCCCTTCGGGCCTGTCGGTACCTTGCAACTGCCTCGGGAGTCCCCCGGGATAACAAATCCCTGAAGGCATCCTTCTTCAGTCGGACGGCTTCCCTGACCACCGGTGTCCACCAGGAGGTTCGAGGGTTACCGCCCCTTGAGGCACCTAGGACCTTGAGACCACAGCTCCCTGCCGCGGCTTCGGCAATAGAGGCTTTGAACACCGACCACTCTGGTTCAATGTTCCCAACCTCCACAGGAATGCCCGAAAAGCTCCGCCGGAGGTGTGAGTTGAAGACCTCCTGAACTTGGGACTCCTCCAGACGTTCCCAGTTCACCCGAACTACACGTTTGGGCTTACCAGGTCTATCCAGAGGCTTCCCCCGCCACTCGACCCAACTCACCACCAGATGGTGATCAGTTGACAACTCCGCCCCTCTCTTTACCCGAGTGTCCAAAACATACGGCCTCAGGTCCGATGATACGATAACGAAATCGATCATGGACCTTCTGCCTAGGGTGCTCTGGTACCACGTACACTTATGAGCATCCTTATGTTCGAACATGGTGTTTGTTATGGCCAATCCATGACTAGCACAGAAGTCCAGTAACAAACCACCACTCCGGTTCAGATCAGGGGGGCCGTTCCTCCCAATCACGCCCCTCCAAGTGTCTCCATCATTGCCCACATGTGCGTTGAAGTCTCCCAGCAAGATTAAAGAGTCCCCTTCAGGAGCCCCATACAGGACTATTTCCAGGGTCTCCAAGAAGGCCATATACTCTGAACTGCTGTTGGGTGCATAAGCACACACAACAGTCAGAGTTTTCCCCCCCATAACCCGCAGGCGTAGGGAGGCGACCCTCTCGTCCACTGGGGTAAACTCCAACAACGAAGCACCTAACCGGGGACTTGTGAGTATCCCCACACCCGCCCGGCGCCTCACACCTTGAGCAATTCCGGAGAAGAATAGAGTCCAACCCCTATCCAGAAGTAAGGTTCCAGAGCCGACGCTGTGCGTAGAGGTGAGCCCAACCAGATCCAACTGGTAACGCTCCACCTCCCGCACAAGCTCCGGCTCCTTCCCCCCCAGAGAGGTGAGGTTCCACGTCCCCAAAGCCAGCTTCTGTCGCCCGGGTCTGGTCCGTCGAGACCCTCCGCTTTCACTGCCACCCTTCTGGCAGCGCACCCGACCCCATCGCTGTTTCCCGTAGGTGGTGGGCCCGCGGGACGGAGGAGCGGAGGTGTTGCCCACGTTGCCTTTTCGGGCTGGGCCCGGCCGGGCTCCGTGGCAAGCCCGGCCACCAGACGATCGCCGACGAGTCCTCCTTCTGGGCCTGGCTCCAGAAGGGGACCCCGGGCTTCCTCCGGGCCGGGTATCCTCACTTCTTGTGTCGTCTTTCATGAGGTCTTTTGAAATGTCATCATTTCGACAATAAATAAATGCTACATAAACGTTATCTTGCACATTTTATCTCCGTTTCTAACTTTCAATATATTTTAAAAGAGATCTCTCTCTCTCATTTGCATGCGGGGGCGGGGCCTCACAGACACTCTGCATCTCTCTCTTGCAGACATGCTGCAGCGCTGTGCAGTGTGCACACAGTTCTGCCGGTAATGAATATTACATTTTGTGAGGAATCTTTTCCACCAATCATTCCGATAAGTATTCCAAAATGTATTCACTTCAGGTTTATGAAAGTAACTGTAATCAGATTACTCGTTTTTCAAATGTAACGCCAGCTGAATACAGTTAGCCTACTTGATTTTTGTATTCTGATTACGTAACGCCGTTACATGTATTCCATTACAACCCAACCCTGCTTCTCGGCTACTGTCCCGCAGCCCCTGCCTCTCTGTTGGACTCTGTTGCAGCGGGGCTACTGCTGTGGTGCAGAGCGCACAAAGCAGACTCTTCACAACGAAGGATCACTTCTTCTTCAAGGCAGGGAAGGTTTCGCAGTACGCAGTCTACTGTCCCGCAGCTGCTGCCTCTGTGTTAAAGTAACGTGTTATAGCAGAAAGTTTAATACAGCGTATTTCTGGTATATTCATTTTAATGATGTCACCTGATATATAGGATGTGTGTTAAACTTGAATATTCCTAAAATGATGTCCCATTTTAAGTAGAAGTAGATTAGCGCAAATGGTCTTTTCTTCCACTTTGGTGTTATAATCAAAAGGTGTTTTTTTGGCTATTTGTAAGTAGGTAAGGTACAGTACAGCCTGTGATTTCTGCCTTGAGTAAAATGATTACCCGTTGATAAGTATTTTTCAGAAAGTCATTTTGGGCTTTCAAGGGCGGAACTCAGTAGGTTATCTGTAAGAGTTTTTTTGTATGATCTGGAAACTTAAATTAATAAAAGGAGGAAATATTATGTCAATTCTTGGACCTTCTCAATATAAACTATACTTTGATTGCAGTTTCCAGATGTTAGAAGCGGCCATGAGATGATGTGTGTTATTGAGTCACACAGTTAGAGAGACAATGGTCCTTCTGAGTTATCAATAGATGTATTCATTCTAAGTGGGCTGACTTCGGGGTGGAAGGAAGTTCAGAGAAGGCCTTAGGGTATAAGAACAGTTAACCTTTGTTAGTTAACTAATCCTATGGATGTCATGAGACGAGGACGTTTAAACATATACAAGTGTAGCTTTCAGAAAGATAAACATGTGACATTTGTGTGATAGGCTGCATGATAAAAATGTGTGTGTGTGTGATCCCAGCTATACATTGGTCATCTGTTAACATCTCCTTGTAAGAAAATGGGGCGGAGTCAACAACTGCTGACTCATTGCCTAGGGTCCCGCCCAGAAGTGAAACCGGCCAATGGAGAACTACCAGCTCACGGTCTAGGGCTCGCCCAGAAGTGAAATCGCCAATAACAAATAGCTAGGGAGGAGCAACCACCACAACTCCTCCCACAGAATTTGTATTTAAGCCATCCCAATGTTCATACTCTGCGCTGTCTTCTGACTGACTGTCGTGGTACGTATATCACACGGTAGTAGAATTTAGCCCGGAGTACTCTGTATTTTGTACTATTGCAGAGTGTTCTGTATTGTGTATTGTTGCTTTTACAATTAAAACAGATTATTGTTTAACCTTTATTCTGGTGCTTTGAGTTCCTTCTTTTATAATTTGATCAGCTCATCAGTCATCAAGGGACGCGCGGAGCAGAGGTGAACCTTCCACCACAGCCATTGGGTGGTGCTCCAACACTGTTGGACTCCAGTACTGCACCTTACGTTGTAAAAAAATAAATGGGTGGGGGGCGAACGCAGTAACCACTCCGCCAACGCCACAGTCACCCCCGTCGTGCGGGCCGGATGAGAATGTCTGGCGGGCCGGATGTGGCCCGCGGGCCGCCAGTTGGTGGTCACTGCTTTAGACGCACTGAACATCTGTTTGTGTGCTTTGGGGGCGGTGGCCGGCAAAGCTCTGTCCAAGAAGCGCCTGGCAGGATGGCTCTGCGAGTGCATTGCACATGTCTACGGACAGACGGGGAGAGCCTTCCCCACGGCGTGAGTGTGGAGGACATATACACGGCGGCGTCTTGGTCAACGCCAGGCCCCTTCATAAACTTTTATCTCTTGGACATGTCTGGCTCCTTTTCATCGTCTGTGCTTGCTGGGGCAACACAGGACTGGTGAGGGGGGCTGTGGGTCAGTGGGCATCTGACCCCCTCCCCGGACGTAATGCTCTTACATTGCGCACTGGGCCCATACGGGGCTGGAGGACTGTTTCCCCCTGCTTTAGGGCAGGAGGGGAGAGCCCTCCACAATATAGTCCATACGTACTCTTCACGCGTGTCTGAGTGTGGGGGACATGGGGCACTTGCACTCTCTCCGTGCTCCTTAGGGACTCGGGAGAGGTGGTGCACAGTGAGCCCGTACGGGGCTGGGGACTCTCTCTGTCTGCCTATGGGCAGCGGACGGGGGGAGCCCTCAGCACTGTTTTCCGAGCACACTTTTCGCGAGGTAAGCGTGTCAGAGTGTGCTCTGTCAGCCGCTGCCCAGACTTCTCCACGGTTACAACCGAGGTAGAGGAGAGTGAGGTGCAGCGGCTTGTATCCGGCTGCTAACCAGAAAGCCGGTCAGGGGCAGTGGAGTGGAACGATGTTATTGGACGACAGTGCGTGTATACATCGGAGCCTGTGAGAGATATAACGAGGGATTGCGTATGGTAACCCTTGTTATCTTAGCACAGACGGAGCCCTCTGCTCGGGGCCCTGTCGGTCCTATGCCGCTCGATGAAGAGAGGTGTAGGATGACAGTCAGGAGGCGAGGCCTCCTTTTATACGATGAGATGCGCGCGCATTCAGGTAGGCCCGCCCCGGGGCTGGCTACGTCTATAGAAGTCTCAGTGGATGAATGCTTGCATGATATGATCAAGGGGTAGTACCCATAGAGTCCAGTAGAGGGCTACACCTGTGCTTATATAACAAGGGTTACCATACGTAACCCCTCATTACTATTTAGCCATGATGAATCCAATTTGTTGTGCTATCCACAAATATAAAATAAATATTTAAGAAAATTGCTATAGTGTTTTCTGATGGAGCTACAGGAAATAAACGTGTTTTTTGGACACAGCAGAGGTTATTGAATGAACTGGACTTTGGGACTGTTATACAGAATAACAGAACATACAATGTCCAAATTAACCAATCAGCATCAAGTGTTCAACCTGGCCGTGCAATAATAACAAATAATAGTAACCTGTGAAGCGGGGAAGCAGCAGGTGACCATGAAGATGTGATGCAGCACCATCAACTTCTCTCTGCGCAGGTAGCCCCCCACAGACGCCCACCGAATCCCCCCCTCCCCCTCCTCCTCCTCGTGACCTTTGACCTGCAGCCTGTGACGGTAGCACAGGAACATGGCGTAGATGTCGTAGGCAAAGTACGGCGTAGCAAACAGGATGTAGTTGTCCGTCAGCCAATGGCTAAGAAGCAAACAGGAAATGATGAGGAAAGGTCAGAAACAGAAAGTAGATTATCAATCAACATTTGATGCACTTTGATTGTAGGAATATTCCCCTTCACTATGATCTTCTGCGGATATAAATTCATATTCACCTTTTTACTCAAATAACATTTTGTTTTATCACTATATTGTGATAAGAAAATACATGTGTAAAATGTGTGGGTTCTTTTCATAGCAAATCCTCCAATAAATTAAGTGAGAAATAAATGTTTTTGTGTTCTACAAAATCAAAAAGGACAAAAAATGATTAAATAATTGACAAAGGCTTAAAACCCCCAAAAGAACAAATCAAATGTAAATAGGAAAAACTTGATGCTGTGTGTCTATTAAACAATATTTAGCTTCCATAGAATGTGTTTTTTTTCAAATTAACACATTAACCCTCTTGTATCACTCTGGACATCTTTGTTGTAAATGGCCAATTAGGGTAGTACATTTGAATGATATCGGTGGGTTAACTGAAGGTTTACTTTGTTTAATTATTGTGCTCATTTTCAGGTTCATGTTTGTATTTAGTCCACAGAAAAAATCCACAGTTTTAAAAAATGTCTGATCGGATTGGCAAAAACTTCAGAATTTGTATTGACCGCCATTCAAATGACAGCTTTGTTTTCCCCCAAAAGTGGGCGCAGCCGTACTTTTTGCCCGGAAGTGACGCATGTGTTACTCTCATCTATAGGTTCATATCAGTATGTAGTGTCTCTACTGTGACTCTTTTCACCCTCTGTCTGAAACCAGAGCCCAGTCTGCTCTGATTGGTTAGCTGGCCGGCTCTGTTGTGAATGGTCAACTGCTTAGAGATGTCCCGCCCCTTAGCCTATCATGTTCTATGTGTTTGAGCGCTAACCAATAGAAGCGCAAGTGTTACATGGTGATGTCATTATGTAAAACAAAGGAGTCCAATGAAGGCGTTTCAGGCAGGGGGGGAGGGGGGTGGGAGTGTGGGACAGAAACTCCCATGGGGTTTTAGCCTCTGCAGACCATTTACATGCACAAAAACCAATATCACATACTACAGGAGAGGGAAACCCTAAAAAGCATATAGGGCCCTTTGAAAACAAGATAACTAACAAATAGCTGCAGGTCAGTTTCTTTGAAGGAAATGTTCTTAAAGATAAAAGTGTAAACAAAGCCGAGAGCATTGTTTGTTAAGGTTGTGTTTGTATGTCACAATGTTATTTGTTCTCTGTGCGTCTGCGCTGTGATTTGTTAACCAAATGTTCACTTTGACAGGGAAATGAAGGAGCAGCAGAGGAAACCTCGGATGAACTCTCCGTCCTCACAGCGTTTCCCATCATCCTCAGCGTGCAGGATTACTGAGCTCTGACAGCTTCTTACTGACTGAAATAGCTCACGTTGTTAATTAGATTACACACATACTGAGGTTTGGTTTGTACACACCAGTAGTGTGAAATGTGTTTATTTTAATACTGGCAACCATGTTCCTATTTTTACATTACCGACAATTGCTAATATAATGCTGGCAATATTCAATTAAATTTCTTATGTTCATCAATCCTCAAAACCCCTTGTGTTATCTTGAAAATTATCCCATGTTATATATCAAGTTGAATGAGTTAATTAGTTAGTTAGTTAGAGAAATGTGTCATTTAAATAAAGTTAATAATGCATTTAATATGTGTTTATGGCCATCGTAAATTAAATATTTTAAAATGTATAGAGCATTGGGAGGGGGGTAATTCCTGGATAAGAAATCATCGGAATAAACAAAGTTTAAAGATAGGATTTTACAAATCAAAACAATAATATAAAAATTCTCAGATTCTTTTAGATTAAACTCACACATTTATGAATGGAAAACTTGGTCAATAAAAAAAGTGACATTTTTTATAAAGGAACCGCATATATGTTTCTCATTAATTAATGGCATTAGATCCCCTTTTAACATGTGTAATCGTTGTCAGCCAGGAGCTCTAATATATAAACTTTTGACCCAGTTTAAGACACATTTTTACTATACTATACTATTTACTCTTTAGATCTTGGTGGCTTTTTACTCTATATTTTTAACAATATGAAGGATTTTAATCATCAAAGACACAAGTTGAGCTAACTTAGTTAGTGTTAGCAGAAAAGAGAGAAACTCTGATCTGTAAACTATATTCGCTGTTTTTAACTCTTTAAATGAGAGGGGAGGGGAGACCCGGTAAAAAGGTCCGTAACCATGAACAGTGAAGGAATCCTTATCCTTAACAATGATGGTGAATCATGTCCCACAAGATGAAGTCCTTACCTGTCCTCCATGACGTCCCTGCAGGAGGAGGTGATGATAAATCCAGCTGCTGAAGCCATGATGGCCTGGATCGACGACACCAGACTGAAAACACGGAAAAAAAGATCAGTTATATATTATATTTTCTCCATGACATGAAAATAAATAATTTGCATTGAAATATATAAAAACATTTTTAAAGGGGTCCTATTCTGCTTTTTGGGGGGTTTTCCCTCTCCTGGAGTGTTAGGTTTCTGTGCATGTAAATGGTCTACAAAGGCTAAAATCCCTGTGTTCCCTCCAGAGGAAGTTTCTCCAATACTGCCTGAAATGCCTCCATTTGACTCCTTTGTTTACTTCCGTAACATAGTGACATCACTATGGACACATGTGTTTATATTGGCTATAGCTCCATCACATTGTACGTGAAGGGACGGGACATCTCTAAGCAGTTGACCAATCACAACAGAGCCGGCCAGCTAACCAATCAGAGCAGACTGGGCTCTGGTTTCAGACAGATGGTGAAAAGAGGAGCTGCAGCACAGGCAGTATGAGAACAATAAAGAGCTTTTTGAACATTAAAGCATGGAGACATGTCCCAGTAGAGACATTACATACAAATATGAAACTGAAAATAAGCATACTTTATATTGGTTAATTTATATATATATATATATATATATATAGAGAGAGAAGAGAGAGAGAGAGAGAGAGAGAGAGAGAGAGAGAGAGAGAGAGAGAGAGAGAGAGAGAGAGAGAGAGAGAGAGAGAGAGAGAGAGAGAGAGAGAGAGGTGAGTTTGGGAAGAACAAGATGTATCATGCATGTGAGGTTTAAAAATGGCTGATTAAAGAATAACATAATGAAGGAAAAGTCTGCAAATGAAATGGACTCTAGGATTTGATGTAAGCCAGTGTGTGTGTGTGTGTGTGTGTGTGTGTGTGTGTGTGTGTGTGTGTGTGTGTGTGTGTGTGTGTGTGTGTGTGTGTGTGTGTGTGTGTTCATGAGTTAGTGTATATCTGCAGTTATGTGTTTGTGTGTTACTCTGTATTGGTCCACCTGCAACATGTGTGTAGCTTTGTACTTTCTTGTGTTCCAGCAGGTTTGTGCATGTGTGTGTGTGTGTTCTCACCGTGCAGACACAATGTCAGCCTCCCCCCGGCTCCATCCCATCATGTGCTTCAGAGTATGTTTGGACAGCAGGAAGACTCCGGGGAAGAAGACGCAGCCGGCGGCCATGAGGACCAACATGTCCCCGTGTGTGTGTGTGTGTGTGTGTGTGTGTGTGTGTGTGTGTGTGTGTGTGTGTGTGTGTGTGTATGTGCTGCCAGTGTGAAATGAGGACAGGTTTCCAGGAGCTCTGAGAGGAGGATCAGCTGGGAGGAGCTGCCTGTCAGAGGAGGAGGGGGGGGGTGAGACACTACAGGTGTATACAAACGAACAGATATCACCATAAAACTTCGTCAGGTGATGACTAACATTAAAGGCCCCCTATTATACTCTTTTTCATCAATATATTATAGTTCTAAGTTATATAGAACATGTCTCTGAAGTGTTTGGCTCCAAATACCAAACAGATCATTGCAGAATCCCATAATCCCCTCTGTTTCAGCCCTGTTTAAAAAGTGCTGATTCTCTGGCTGCTTCTCACTTCTCTTAAATGCAATCCTTGCGTCCCTCACTTGCGTCTTTTCCTTGCGTCTTACGGCCCGTCCACAAGGCGGCGTGCGTTGAAGCTTCAACACTTCTACTTTGAATGGAGTGACGTCACACTTTGCCGAACTGCATTGTGGTCGCGTCGCTTCACTTTGCTCGTTTCAAAAGTTGAGCAATGTTCAACTTTTGAAGCTTCAACGGAAGCGTCAGCCAATCAAATCATATGCCAGTACAAGCTCTAGCCAATCAAACCGCGTGCTTGTGTGACCGGGGCGGGAGATTCATGCGATTGGTTGTTGGTCGAGTTTCAGACACGCCCACCGGCAAGCTTCAACGCACGCCGACACACGCCGACACGCGATTATCGCTCCTCGATCCTCCGGTGTATTGGGCAGGGGGACGGATCGGGTAGTGACTGTCACTACCCGATCCGTCCCCCTGCCCGATTGGTACTGCGCATGTGCGAGATGGTCCGCCATATTGGACAACTCCGGACGGCAACCCAAGATGGACACTTGACACAGTGGCTTTTAGCAAAGCTCAAAAATAAAACGAGAGAGATGAGTTATTGTTATTACAACGTGACTTCACTATTATTTAACAACTCTTTTTATTGGGTTCTTTTATTTGGGGTTAAGTACATTGTCAGAATAAGTGAGAAGTTAATGTAACTTCTGTTAGACAGCCATATGCCATACATGTTTGCATACATTCACAGTCAATATTTATTCAGTATGATAGCTGTCTAACAGAAGTTAAATACATTTCTCACTTATTCTGACAATGTACTTAACCCCAAATAAAAGAACCCAATAAAAAGAGTTGTTAAATAATAGTGAAGTCACGTTGTAATAACAATAACTCATCTCTCTCTCGTTTTATTTTTGAGTTTTGCTAAAAGCCACTGTGTCAAGTGTCCATCTTGGGTTGCCGTCCGGAGTTGTCCAATATGGCGGACCATCTCGCACATGCGCAGTACCGATCGAGCAGGGGGACGGATCGGGTAGTGACAGTGGGCCCTTCTCACTTCTCTTATTTTTCATTTCCTCGCTCCTCGGTCTCTGTCTCACCGGAAGTTGATTTGTCTGCGCCATCTTGAGTAGCGTCCCAATGGCCTTATTTTTGCAGGAGGACCGAGGAGCGATAATGGAGGAGCTATAATCGAGGAACCACCAGACCATCCTCCGATGAAATCCTCAGACACTCGCGCCGCCCCCTTACTGTGTATCGCTCACTGATTGGACGAGGCAGTGCATGCACTGATCTGATGCTTCTTGACATGAGAGCAGTTTCCCAGCGGAGTGAAGAAAATACATGAAACTCACGAGAGTCACTCCTCAGTTTATACCGTGTTTTGTTTCAATTAATGTATCATTTAGTTACAAATATGTGATATATCTGAACAACAAAGTGGTCAAACATCATTTTATTCATTTTTTGGAAACATTTTCATGATCGCTTTTTTCGTTTTACATTTTCATTTATTGTCATTTCCATTCAGTCAGTCATTAAGTGCTATTAAAATGTTAATTTACTACATATCCAAACGAACAAACAAAGTGTGCAATCCAATGAATGTTAATCTAACTGGGTTTTGATAGATAACATATCTCTTTTTCTTCTCTCAATTATTTTATTTCTATTGTGCACTCTAATCAATATTAATCAAACTATTGTTCGTTTATACATTTTAAGAATGGCGTTTATCTTTTTTGAGAATGAGTTCTTATTTTATTTTATTTATTGGGGTCTACAACAGATGATACAAATGTTTGTGTCAGTAAATGTGTACTAACAGAGGCGGGGGTGTGTGTGGAAATAACGGGGACAGAGCTGCTGTCAGACGATCAGCTGTGCAGCGTCATCACAAACGGACGTCGCTTCACGTGACGCTCCGGAGGAAAGGACGTCCCATTGCTCTTAAAACTCATTTCCCTGCTACTCGTGGTTTCCTTGCGTCCCTCAATGCTTCCCTGGTGGGAGGACTAGTCACAGGGAAACGACGCAAGTGAGGGACGCAAGGAATCCATTTAACCGAAGTGAGAAGGGCCCATAGACAACACCGACACCGGCACAATAAGGGCAATAGGACCATAGACATGGGGTCCTTCTCACTTCGGTTAAATTGATTCCTTGCGTCCCTCACTTGCGTCGTTTCCCTGCGACTAGTCCCTCCCACCAGGGAAGCATGGAGAGATGCAAGGAAACCACGAGTAGCAGGGAAATGAGTTTTAAGAGCAATGGGACGTCCTTTCCTCCGGAGCGTCACGTGAAGCGACATCCGTTTGTGATGATGCTGCACAGCTGGTCGTCTGACAGCAGCCAGCTCTGTCCCTGTTGTTTCCACACACACCACCGCCTCTGTTAGTACACATTTACTGACACAAACATTTGTATCATCTGTTGTAGACCCAAATACATTAAATAAAATAAGAACTCATTCTCAAAAAAGATAAACGCCATTCTTAAAATGTATAAACGAACATTAGTTTGATTAATATTGATTAGAGTGCACAATAGAAATAAAATAATTGAGAGAAGAAAAAGAGATATGTTAGGCTATATATCAAAACCCAGTTAGATTAACATTCATTGGATTGCACACTTTGTTTGTTTGGATATGTAGCAAATTAACATTTTAATAGCACTGTATGACTGACTGAATGGAAATGACAATAAATGAAAATATAAAACGAAATAAGCGATCATGAAAATGTTTCCAATAAATGAATAAAATGATTTTTGACCACTTTGTTGTTCAGATATATCACATATTTGTAACTAAATGATACATTAATTGAAACAAAACACGGTATAAACTGAGGAGTGACTCCCGTGAGGTTCATGTATTTTCTTCACTCCGCTGGGAAACTGCTCTCATGTCAAGAAGCATCAGATCAGTGCATGCACTGCCTCGTCCAATCAGTGAGCGATACACAGTAAGGGGGCGGGGCGAGTGTCTGAGGATTTCATCGGAGGATGGTCTGGTGGTTCCTCGGTTATAGCTCCTCCATTATCGCTCCTCGCTCCTCCCGCAAAAATAAGGCCAGTGGGACGCTACTCAAAATGGCGCAGACAAATCAACTTCCGGTGAGATCGAGGAGCGAGGAAATGAAAAATAAGAGAAGCGAGAAGGGCCCATGGGACGGTACTCAAGATGGCGCAGAAAAATCAACTTCCGGTGATACCGAGGACCGAGGAAATGAAAATAAGAGAAGTGAGAAGCAGCCCCAGTCTGTTACTTTAGATGAAAAATCATAGTGGCCAAAATCTGATCAGCTCATTTTTAGACAGGTTTTTATATAAATGGATCAGGACAAAAAGAGAGAATCTCTCTGCACAGAGGGGACACATATGTATGTATTAAAAACAGGAAAAAGTTGATTTTGCATAATAGGTAAAGCCAGGTTTAAAATGATTGTTTAATTTTTTTAACAGATTAGTAAAGTCAAGGGGATACTGGATATCTCTTTCTATCTCTACATTAATCAGAAACTCTGTAACTCTACAATTGCCTCAATTTTTTTGTAATAAGAGTTGCATTGTAAAATAGTGTTATGATTAACATTTAACATTCATATTTTCTATGAACATGTTTTAAATATTCTTTGCGATTGTTCATCACTTTTTTCTATTTATTAGTTTATAACTAACATATTTATTATCCCTATCCATTTATTTATGATAATTTAATTCTTAGGGACATTTACCTGTCTTAACTGCAGATATGTACATATTCCAAATATCAATGAATAAAACTGAATAAAAAAAGAGGTCTAGTCATGAAAGGGAATATTATCCAGTGTCCATTTATTTGTTTATCATTCACTACTTTAACTCTAAACATTTTTTTTAAGAAATTCAAGTATTTGTTGGGAACACAAGTCAAAAAACAAACAAAAAATCTTTTTGTTGTTGTTGCTAAAACAAAGACAAAAAACATCAGTTTCAAACATCAGTCTCATATTTATAATAATAAAAACATCAAGTTTCTTTTCATAGAAGAAAAACAAGTCTAATGTCTAAAGGTGACGAGTCGTCTGTCCGTCTGATCTGTGAACAGTGTGCAGGAGGGCGTCTATTTCAAACACTTCCTCTACACAACAGAAACAAACAAAAAAGTCAAATAAGAAAAGTCCAAAAGGGAAAACCGTTGATCTATTGTTCCCTAAAGTAGAACATTTGAGCTTCAGATTAACAAAGTGTTCCCTCAATGTATTAATAATGTGCATTTTCAATATAGTATTTATGAATGTCGATGTTGAAATAATTATCGGATCAACAAAATAGTAGGTAATCAAGAAAAATGTCAAACGTTCTCAATTTCCAGCTTCGGCAAATTGTCTGAATCACTAGAAACTGAATGATCTTTGGGTTTATCTGATCAAATACAGTGATTACAATTATTTTCTGTTTTAGAGAAAATGTCTCGAAAAAATAATAAGAAATATAACATCATTTTAAAAAACAATAAAACACCAAATAGTCTTTCAAAACGACACTTTTGGGAAACTCAAAGGGAAAATACTTTCTGATGTTCACTCGAGCAACATGACTAAATGTTTTAGAATTTCTTTACAAAAAAATTCAGTTTGTTTTGAGTCTTTATGAATTGAGTTTTCTTTGGGTTTATCTGACAAAATAAAGCACTTATTCAAAACTTATATTGAGGGAGGAATGTTACATTGAAGTGGGAAAGTTTAGAGAAGATAAATGCTTAGTTTAAGGGATTAAGGGGTTAGGTGCGCATTTGAAGACTCAAAGGATACGGTTGTCTCTTGACTAATGTGTTTATTTTGAGGGCAACGTTTGTGTTCATCACACTGAAACGTTGCTTCTTACATTTAAAAATAATCGGTTTAGTGTTGAGGTTAACTCGCTCTTCAAATGTATTTAGGGAACAATTATCAAAACATTTTCTCAACGTTTGGCTTTTGAAAAAACCTAATCAGATCACAACAAACAAAAACTTCTAATAAAAATCACTTCCTAAAGATGAATTAAATACAAAAAGAAAATACCACAAAATGTACGTTTTCGTCATCAAATCAATTGCACAGCATTCAAACCCAAAAGCTCTCCATGGGATAATAAATATACACATGCAGATATACAAGTCAGGGGGGCGCTGTGATCCTGGAGAAGAAGATACTCCGGGGGGCCGGCGGGGGCCGCAGAGAATTTTTTTTCAATCCAGAAACGAAGGAACAACAGGAACTAAACCCGGAGAGTCCTTCAGTCTTTTCAGGAGCTTTACATTGAAAAAAAAGTGACGGGACAAACTGTGAGGTGGCAGGCTGTTCCTGAGTGCCTTACAGAAAGAAAGAGAGTTCCTGGACAAGTTCCTAAAGTCAGAAAGGGGCCAGACAACGGTGGGAACCAGAACCCAGAAGATCAGACTGATGGTTTTACATGTTTTTCTGCTTTATCTACACATCAGGGCACTTGAATTACTGACGTTCAGAGGAGAAATCAAACCATTGAGAATAACAATCCTGCCGTCTTGTGCAAGATCATTATTGCTTATATTGTGGGAACAATTATATCATAAAGTTTTTGGATGTAACTTTTTTTTGCGGATTCTATTTTCACAAGTAAGGATAAATAGACTTCAGTAATTATGAAGAAAAAGTCCTTTAATGTGAGATATAGATTTTAATGGAAGTAAACATGATTTACACTTTTAGTTTTGAGAGAAACTTGTGACCTTATATAATATTGCAAATGTTTGTAACATTTGTTTTAACCATGTAGTTGAGGTGACTTGTGATTTCTGAGAAAATAATCTTGTTAATCTTTTTTTCTGTTATAACTTTTTTTTTTCAAATGATGATTTATTTGAGTTATTCCATGGCATATTAAATGTAATATAAACTAAAACAAATCTGCCTGTTTTTAAAAATGTAATAATATTTCACCTTTCTTGCTATTACGGTTCACATATATGCACGTTTATTTCACTTTCAGTGCGATTTGTTGAGTTTGTAATTAAAGGGTTAAACATGTAAAAACCACCAGTTAGAAAATGAACTCAATTAGATATGAAGATATAATTAACATCTTCTGCTGAACTTCTTACAGTGTAGAATCAGACAAATGGTTATTTACTGATAATAATACCAGGATCAATACTGGTGCATCCTTATGTGGCTTTGTACAGTTCATAGTCTATAAACGGGACACCTGAGCCTGAAACTAAAATAAACGAAAACAAAAAAACAGCAGCATTTCACAGAAAACATCCTTCTCTCAAAAAAAATCAGAGTGGTGGGGCGAAGTGGAGGTAAAGAGAAGAAGAATCTGGAGGAATGACGTTTGAGTTCTGACGGGAGGCTTTCACTTTACAGGTACGCACACATCAGGTTCTGTTCACTGTTCTCCGGAGGTTTGAGGTAAACCGCTTCAAACTACAAAGGGTGGAGACACACACTCTTCAACAAACACTCAATAAATTAAGTCTCTCTGTCTGCCGGTGGGCAAAAAGTGGGGACAGAGGAGGTCAGCAGGAAAATTCAAACAAGACGGGAAGAACACAAAAGAGTCAGCCAAATATCTGTCGATTTGGCATTTTTCTTTATGCAGAGCATCTTCTTAGACAACCTTGAATCATTTCTTTACGACGATGTATAAGGGCCATTGTAGGCAAACAAAATGACAATGATAAAGCCAGGGAAAGGGTTATTAACAGAAGAGGATTAGGACCATGTGAAAAGTCCTTTTTCTGGGATTACACTTTATAATCTCAAAATTCAGAGAATTCTGCATTTGTTCGTCAGGAATCAGATTTCTTTCCTTCGAATTCCGACTTTAATTGATTTTCTTTCCTTGAAAATGTAGGAGTTTAACCCTCAAAGGTCATAAATGTTCCTGTCGTAATTTCCAACAAAAATACTTCAAACTGAGGAAAAAAGTCCCTGCTCCTTTGATAAGGTGGAACAGAGAACTTAGCGAAGCCGCGCTAAGATCAAAGCACTACCGAAGCTGTGATGTGGAGAAACACGAGGGGACTGACTGTGGTGAGAACCTGCTACATCTGTTAGTTTGCATTATTGACGCGGCTTGGACTCGCAGCAGTTCCAAAAGAAAACCAAAAAAAAAGAGGACGTGGCGCTGTATGGTGTCGTTTGGCGGGAACACTGATCCGGTACGCGCTCGTATCGGGAGTGTCTGAAACTCCGCTGGGCAAGCGATCCGCTCCATGTCCTCAGTCCATCGCTTGTTCAAATGAATCCGTATTGCACAGGGCTGGAATGAAATCTACTAGCTCTACCAAACATTAAAACCATTATTCCTTAAAGTCTCTACTAACACAGATGGAAAATCCACTCTAGTACCGGCTCCTCTTTCTTTTTCCTCCTCAAGCAGCTTTGCTTTTTTTTTTACATATCAGCACCGAGAAAAAGAAAAGTCCCGAAGCCTCGCCTGTTTGGGACGTTTAGAAAAAGTGAAGTAGTTTTCATATTTTGAAACTTTGTAGATTTTGAAGGAGGTAAAATAAGTAATGAGGATCTTCAGGAGGTTTTTTGGGAGTGTTTCCCCGTCTGCATCTCGCCAGGGGAACAGCTGAAAGGAAAAGACCCAAACTCTTCAGGACTCTCACGGGCGATTCAATCCTTTTTCATACTCTGCTGCCGCTCCCCGGGAGGAAGAGGAGGACGTTCATCTCTCCTCCTTCCTGGACACCTTGGAGGAGTGCCATGCAGTGGACCTGGGGACACAAAACCTTCTCTCAGGCGTGGAATACAAAACATTCGTCCATCTAAATATCAGTGTGTTCGGTAAGTGATAGATGACAGGAGAAAAGAGCCCCTCCTCACCTGATGAAGGTCTTGAAGGCAGCACTCTGAGGGTTGATGCACAGCGGCACACGCTTGCCCTGCTGGTGCTCCGTGATGAAGCGATGGATTAACTCTGGAGACAAGAAGAGCCAGCAGGAATTATAGGAGGCTAAACCTGATTTATAAAGCACATTTCATTTCTGCTACAGGCACAATGCGTTGCCAAACTTACGAGTGAACACAAGCGTTAACTGCTGATTTAACATTCTTTTCATTGGATTTTTAAACTTATTTGTTACATGAGAATTTGTATATTAATTTTTTTTTGAATCAATGTTTCTAAAAATGTAAGGAAAAATAATCTATATCAAATAATTAAAACTATAAGTTCACCATTACATTTCTTTAAAATAATAATAATACACGCTAGTTGAACTCAAGAAGAAAATCAGATAACGAAGATCAACAGTTAAATACAATTATTCTTTCTAATAATATAAGAATAATAATACTTGCAAGTAAAATATAATTAAGAGGTAAGAATAAAATAAGACAAACAAGTGAACAATCATGATAACATACAATAATAGAGATGTGCGTAAAAAAAGAAGGAATAATTAAGACCAACAGGCATATCATAATAATGAATACATATTTATAAATAATATTAATCATTGGTCAAGTGGTTCGAAATAAATTGAATATTAATTAAGATGAACAAACCAGACTACTCAAAGACTCAACAACAGAAAACACAAATAGAATAGAATAGGGAGGGATGAAACCCTCTTTAATGGTCGCACATGTGTTCTCTGCGTTTAACCCATGCTAGTATCAGGAGTCTAGTACCAGGAGCAGTGGGCAGCTATTGTACAGCGCCCGGGGAGCAATGGGGCTGATGTTCCTGCAGAGATACACAGAGATGTGTATCTCTGCAGGAACATGTAAACATGTATTTTCTTGATGTTATTGTTTATTGGTAATGTGAATTTATTTATTGTTATTATTCAATTCAGTTCTTTATGATTTTATTTTGAAGGCAGCTTTGGGCACTGGGTAATTATGTATATATTGGAGACAGGCGGTGGTGGCATTAGGCCACCAGTATAGGCATATGGTTTTTTACCAGGGTGAAACAAGCGAGTGCAATTATATACAGGCAACCTAAACATTGTATTTTGTTGATATTGGATCATGGAAAGTAATGTATGAAAGGATATTCTTGTCTGGAATTGGATGAAAGTTTCCAGCGTTGTACACCTTAACAAACTAAATCTGAGGCGAACACCTGGGCGTGCGTAAGTGTGTTCAGTTGGAGCAGGAAGTGTGTGTGTGGCGTACCTTTGCCCTGCCACACGGACAGCATGCTGTTCTCGTAGCTGTGGCTGAACGGCCGCTCGGCGACAGGTTCAAAGTCCCGGGTGTAAACTCGCCCGCTCGGCACCGAGTAGCAGCACTGGCACATGCAGGTGTGGTAACGCAAGCGCCCCTCGTCCAGGTACGGGTGGGAGAGGGCGTCGCTGCCGGAGATACGTTTAGTCTGGAGGTGAAAACACAGAGACTGGTTAAAGAACACGAAACACACATAAATCAGTAATGACAGAGTGTGGGGACTAACCGGGTCGAACACCAGCATCCGACAGAGCAGGTGCACCGCCTCGTGTGTGGCTCCGTCAGACAGCATGTACAGCACCGACAGCGACGGCTGCAAATATAACAACAATTAATAGTTTCTTTTATTATCGTCTTTTAGAAAATGTGCTGCTGAACTTTACACCTCATATTGGGAGACATGCTTTCTATTATTAATAGGGCCGGGACTTTAACGCGTTAATTAAGATTAATTAATTACACAAAAATTAACGCGTTAAAAAAATTAACGCATTTTAATCGCACTTATTTTTGCACCGCGGAACGTTTCTCACTGGATGAGTTTCAGGCGTACCGATTATACTGGAGCACCAACTAACGTTCATGACTTTAGTTGTTTGTTCAACAACAAACCACAGTGAACAACTGTGGGAAATGTTGTTTTAAAAAACGGACGGATGGAAGCGTCGATAAGAGCACGGTTGTGTGCAAATTATGCAAAAAGGAATTCGCATATCACCGCAGCACATCAAGCCTCAAGTATCACCTCAATGCAAAACATATAGCAGCTAGCGTGGACGTTAGCCTCTTTTATCGCGTTCACACCAAAAGAGCCGGTACTAAAATTAGTTCATGAGAACCTTTTTACCCCCACGAAAGTCCCTGCTAGAGAGCAGAGAGCTGCTAGAGAGCAGGGACTTTCGTACGGCTCTCTTGTGAGAAAAGAGCTATATGTCTGATTGGCTGGGCGGATTGCAAACCACGCCCCGTAAAACTCCCAAAAAGTTTTGTGAAGCCGCCATTTTATTATCCTCGCATTAGCATTATTAGCATTAGCCCAGCGCAGAAACGCAGAGAGACTAACTTATGGCAACACAAAATAAAACATGGGAGCGGTGGAGATGAGGAGGTGTCGGCGTTCTGGCGATTTACTCGGAAGGCTGCAGGGACTCCCAGCAGCTTCTACTGAAGCCAGTCCCCAACTCCGGGGACTTCCGGCCGGGGACTTTGGGCGGCAGTATACGACGTGAAGTGGTTTGCTGCCTGCCAGTAAACCCAATGCAGAAGAAGAAGAAGTGACGTCAGCGGCTTCATTTGCCTAATCCACCCCCAGGTTCAAAGAGTTCTCATGAACTAAGTTCTCATGAACCTTTGTGGGAAAAGTACTGCGGTGTGAATGCGCCTAATGGTATACTAAAATCCATGTGAAAAAAATTGCTTCTCACTGTTCTCAGGTCAAATATTTATATGTGATTAAAAATGCGATTAATTTCGATTAATTAATTACAAAGCCTCTAATTAATTAGATTAATTTTTTTAATCGAGTCCCGGCCCTAATTATTAATAATTCTAAAGTAAGAATATACATTTGGGTATGTTTGTTTTTATTTGCCAGATTCATTTTCTTGATTTTATAAAAAAAAAAAGACTTTTGCTTCCATGTGTACTTTGACATATGTCTGTGTTTTGCTGCTTTTCTCTTCATGGAATCAATAAAGGTTCATATTATTTTATATTATTTGACAGATCGACTTCAAATAGAGTTCAGGCATCGGTCACATTAAGTATCACAGTAAACTCTCATGTCAGCGGGCATGAAGATTTCAGATTTGGTAACATTTCAGCGAGATTATCAGCAAATAACCTGAGATGAGGTATAAGGCATTTCATTCCCGATAAATGATATACAAATACATTAATTAATCATTGAATGCCATCGGCTGTGCTCATAACAGGATATTATTACAAATTGTATAAATGTACAGATTTTAATATCTTTTTTTGTTGTTAATTAATGTGTAAATAAACTATTCTTATAACACCAATAGAAAATGCATTTTCTCACAGTTCTCTGCCACCAGGTGAACAAAAGTCAATGCAGTAAGTGATTATTCATCAGTTGAAATAATCACAATTTATTATAGTATTTCACTGACCTTACATCAGGGAAGTCCAGTACACTAACATTATTTTGTTATTTGTTATGTATGCTGGACTTTACAAATTGTCTCAGAAAATAAAAAGCAGAAAAGAGCTTTGAGTGTTTTTGTCCCGTACCGGTTTGTGTGGCCCCCTCAGGATGTGGGCTTTGGCCCCCTCGCAGGCTGCCGACAGGGCCGACAGAGGAGGGGTCCCCAGCAGGTCTGTGATCAGATCCAGCTGCAGGACAGAGAGCCAGTTAAAGACAATAACACACATCTGCATAATATCAAAACATTACACTGGTTCATATAAGCTGTACATTCCTGTCTGTATTATCAAACTCTGTAGGTGGCCTCTTCAATTAAGTGCAAGAAATGCTGAATAAGTGAAAAAATACCACAAAAAATACCAAACCAGTTTATAGATTCAACACAATCCTACTTTATCAGAAAGTGTTGGCATGATTTCATCTTAGCAGAGGCACTGTTTAGCTGTAGAAGAGTGACTTTACAGTAAAAACACTGCAGGAAACGCATAGTGTGAGGAATTAAATAGCAAACTTCACCTAAAAGGACGTGGTCTAATAAAGCAAGAGATCCACCAGGACATGATGAATGCAGGTAGAGGACCTCACCTGCTGGATGGGGCTCTGAGCCTGGAAGAGGATGCGTCGGCCCAGCAGCTCGGCGAAGATGCAGCCCACGGACCAGACGTCGATGGCCGAGCCGTAGTGTCTGCAGCCCATCAGCACCTCGGGGGCCCTGTAGTACTGCGTCACCACCTCCTGGGTCATGTGACGCGATGGGTCGGGCTCCTCCACACGCGCCAAGCCGAAGTCACAAATCTAAACACAGGTTTAAAGAACATATATTTAAAAAGGTTGGCACTGCAATGCTCAGGATCTACCCAGCAGCTCAATAGAACATTTGAAACTGAATATTCATTTATACAGAGGAAATTTGCAGCGCAGCATTTACAGTGAAAAGAAGCAAACCTACACTACATCTACAATAACTTAACATGTTATAACAATCTAACAATCATTTAAAAATAAGGACATTTTCATTCTAAAATAATCTGAAATCATTTAGAAAATAATATATAACAATATAAAATAAAACAATCTAAAATGTAAAAATATAAAATAATCCAAAATAATTTAAACTAACCTGAAATAAAATAATCTAGAATACCTCAAATAAAACCATTGATATGAAAAAATCCGAAATACATTTAAAATAATAAAAATATTTTAACTAACCTAAAATAAGGTAACAATTCTAAATGAAATAAAACAGATAAATATCACGCATCCATGTAGAAACATGATCACATGGTGTCTTTGGCCCGTGAAATACTCCATTAACGCTCTTTCTAACTTTCCAACTTGCAAACGTTTTTAAAAAGCAGAGATTCTGTTTCACCTTGAGCAGACAGTTGCTGTTCACCAGCAGGTTTCCAGGCTTGATGTCTCGGTGCAGGATCCCAGCAGAGTGCAGGTACTTCAAACCTGAACCACACAACATATATTGGCAAGAAAATCTACAAGACATTGTACAGTGCAATCAGAGAAATACAGTATGTCCAAGTTTTTGAGCAAGTCCACGAATCCAGTCTTTGTCAAGTCTGTCACCACCTTCGCGCAACTGCTGGCGCCACTTCGCCCGGGCCAACCTTTTTGATATGAAGTGCCATAAAATAAAAAATAAAATGATCAGTGTGCCAACGCTCGTGAAATGTCAACAGGAGGGCGGGGGGAGCATCGTTGCGGGGAAGCTGTGGACCTCTTTCGCCTGACAGCGCAACTTACATGATGCCGTTTAAACTAATTTAAATAAAGGGCGGTGCCGGCCTTCAGCGAACCGAGCCGGCCGTCAACGGCCCGCTGACGATCGGCCGTGCTGTGATTCTCCAGAACACACAGATGGCCAGTCCGCCCCTATATAGCATATTCTTTTCGATGACAGATGAACAGATCGCCACTGGGCTTTCAACTAAAGACACAGACACGCAAAAACTGCGGCATGTGTATAGCTCCTTATGGGTACTGCAATTTGTGAAGTGCCGGAGCGGCGTTCCGGTGCGCTCCGGCAGCACTGCACCCCTGATCGTTTCACCACGGAGGGAAGCAGCAGCAAGTCGACTGGAGTTAAAGAGAGCGGGGCCTAGAAGTTATCCTTCTGGGCTGCGTTGCGTGTATGGCTTCCTTCTGCAGGTAACGGGGAGACGCGCTCTGGCGGCGGTCTCGTTCAGGATCCCAAAATACAATTTAAATATTTTTGCACACTTATTCCTAGTGTGCCACTAGTTACGGTACCGCCTAGGGTTGCTAACCCCTGCACTGGATGATAGACGCTGAACAGTCCCATTAGAAAACATCTTAGCTACAGAGTCTGTCCTCTCCCTGCATGTCGTTCAGATCAGATACGTAGACACATTTATATAAGTATTCTATTTTAAATTAAAATGATAGAGAACAATAAATCAAGTTTTGACACTATCATTTTAAATGTGTGGCTTGTAACCAAATTATTCAATTTGATTTGTGTACGCTTGGTTCAGAGTTAAAATTGATAAATTCATGAATTGATCGATAGAAAACTAACTTGGTTACATTCTTTAGTATTGTGTCAATCTAAGTTGACTTTAACACAATGTGTCTTGTTTTTCTTTTTCAGAAACACGAATAATTTTGATCCCAAGGGAACATTTTATTTTGTCCAAGTTGGTCTATTTAGAATTTAAAAAATATATAATAATAATATATACATTATTTTTTTTATAAAAAAAGAGAACAATGTATAAAAAAATAAATAAAAATATACAATAATGAATACGAAAAATTATGTACATTACAATATATATATATATATATATATATATATAATAATAATGTTATACATTTAAAATGGTCTAGGTCTTTTCATAAAAGTATAAATAAGATATAGGAGAATATTGCTTATATTGCTATTAAATAATGAATGCAGAGTATTGCTCAGTTGAATAATTGAACAGGTTGTTGTTAGTTTAGTCTGAACTGCAGCGATTAGGTTGATGGGGCTATGGGTACAATAAGTCTAGAAAGTCTTAAGTCAAAGTAAATTACATATCTCCAGGTTTTGGACTTATGACCAATTGAGATTTGAAGACATACATTCAGGGAAATGTGATGGATGTTTTCTTATATTTGTAGAGGATTGCAAGCACAAAAACTCCATTTGAATAACTAAAAATACTGTTTAGTGCGTCAGTAAGAGTGCTCACCCCGGAGGATCTGATAGAGGAAGACCTTGATGTGGTCGGTGGTGAGTGGCTGCGGAGACACGATCACTTTGTGCAGGTCGCTCTGCATCAGCTCCGTGATCACGTAGCTGCGGGGGGGTTCTCTGTCAAGGAAAATAAAACCAACACACAGAATGACCTCCGCCCACATGCACACCATGCATCTCTTAGGAGCACAGGCATGAAAAAAGAACAGAGTTTCATGTCTTATTTTACATTCACAAGTGAGAGAGAGGAGCTGGATTTAGACTAGCAAGTGTTAAGAGTTAGAGGCTAAATTAAGAGAATTAAAAGGAGGACATGGGGGACTGTTAAAGGAAGAGAAACTGGGACAGAAGACGTGGGGGGGTGAATGTAAGATTAATGAGAAGGTGTGCTGGAAATTAAAGCCACAACCGTGGTAATATTATAAAAAGGAGGTGTGATTCTACAATGGCGTTTAGGGTCCATGCTGTTCAAAATAAATGACAGATGGAGAACGGGGGAAGTATTCAGAGAAAACGCTCTAAACTTGCAATAATAAAGTGGTACAAAGATATTGTAAATAATTACTGATATTCTCATGTCACAAATGTAGAGGATTAAATGTTTTGTATTTTTTTATACAAATTATAAAATAACTGTACTAGTATTCCTTTATGTTAATAACCAATAAGAAATTGAAGAAAATACGTTTATGAATATTTTAGAACCTTTCACCCAGAGGCCATGCTTACTAAATTCAGGCAGCAGCTTAAGCGATTTAATTTGACAAAATATTCAAGTGTTTTATTAGTAAAGTATAGAATTTCTAGTTCATGTCCCACTTTAATCTTAAGAGAATATAGAAGATTCTATCAAGTCAATTTGTGAGTATTTTCTCATATTAACCAATTTCTGTTTTGTTTTTTTAAATGTCTGAATTTTTTCACAGTAATTTTACCTTTACTTGTCAATTTATCATGTTAATCTCAGAGAATATCCAAATCTGCTTTTTTTTTGCATTCATTTACTATTTAAATAGGAAATTCAGAGCTTTTTACCTGGATATTACACCCTCCATTATCAATTTGTATACTTGTATACTATATACAAGGCCATAATACACCATGGTATCATTCCCACTTCTGATCAATTGTTTCGTATATATCTTTTTAAAGGATACATTTCCTCAAAGCAGTCGATTTGTGGAGGCTGCAAAATGTCCAGAGCGGACAAAACCTGCAGAGAGAGAAAACCAAACAATCAGTTATATATTTGAATCCATCTACTACAGACCAGAGTCCTGCATCGGGTCGGGTACCCGCAAAAAAAGCGATTTCAGTTCGGGGTAAAACAAAGATGATGCGGGTCGGGTTGCGGGAGTTGCAGAATAAATATATTAAAATAATAATAATTTAGTTTAATGTTTAAATCCTCAGACCTCTCCCCCGCATAATCATAACCTCTGCAGCGCATCAATCTGCTGCTGAGCGCGCCACATTCGAAATGGCTGAGGTGAGGCTCTCTAGCGGAGAATACAGCATTTACAATAACACTTGCTCAAGAGCGAAATCCAACGTCTGGGAGGCTTTTGGTGTCATCCTAGATGGAGGAAATAACCAACATCCCATGCTTTTTGAGCCAAATATGCAACTGCGTGTGTTAATAATTGCACGTTTTCACTGCTCATATATGCGGGTTCGGGTCGGGTTGCGGATCTTGTGCTGACGGGTCGGGTCGGGGAACTAATTAGCAATATGTGCGGGTAGCGGGGCGGGTTCGGTATTGCACGTCGCGTGTCTTGAAAATCAGACCCGTGCAGGACTCTGCTACAGACATCCCTTCTTTTGTCTGCTGGTCATTACGTTGTCGTGTTTGAAGAAGCAGAGCATCCTGAGCTCTCTGAAGACCCTCTTACAGGACACCAGGTTCTGGAAGACATTGGGCATCTTCTTCAACGCCACCTTCCGACCGTCACGTGGATCCGTAACAGCCCTGAAAAACATCCACAGAACATTTTTATACACATGCAATGCTTTGGACTACATATGTTATTATACGCTTGATGATAAACGGTTTGTGGTATTTTTATGTACTAATACAAAACTTGTGCTGGTTCTTAGTAAATAAATCGAGGATTTGCTGCTTGTCTTCTTCCTTCTTTTTTTTATTATTAAATAAATGGTACATAACAGTTAATAAAAGTAAAGTAAATGTTTTGGACTGTATCAGACAAAACAAACATCATGAAGACATTTTCTTATTTATAGCTGGTTTCATATTAGTTTTTTTTGTACTTATTGATTAATTGATTTTCTGTTTGGTTAAATTAATTTGTTTGTTTTTACACAGTAATACGTTGTTTACAAGCTAGACAAGCTACACCTTCACCAGGTAAGACAATATTTTAACTGGTTATGGTGACAGTTATTTAATATTCATCTTAATAATGTGAGGATATAGAGTGGCGAAGTCACGCTCATCTACTTCGGGTCCATGGGACCTTATTTCGGAAAAATAATGTATTGAAGTCAATGGAGAGAGAAAACATATCTTTCGGTCCCGTTTGAATTGTGCCATGAATTACACATATGATGTTTGTCAATCGTAAAAAATTATTTCCATGTCAAAAAAGTCAGTTTGTCGTACTTCTTTTGAAATATAAGACTATGAAAAATACGCAACTAGAAAGACTACAAATCCCAGAGTCGCGTAAGTGATGTCACAATTGTTTCCCTCCACTAAGAGATAGCTAAGATAAAATAACTTTAACAAGATGCCTGTGTGCTTAGTACCAGGTTGTTATCATACCAGCAATGGGTCTTGCTCGTTCTTTCGCTTCCCGTCTGATGAAAGGACCAGGAGTGGCTGGATCAAGTTAGCTACCTAGCTAGCACGTTAGTTAGCATTACAGCCTTGTCATTTTTATTAGCCTTAATATGAAGTAACATTAAGTAACCCAAAATGTTAAACAGTAAGAGTAGTAGTCATATTTCGTGAACCCTTTGAAGAGTACTGTCACCGGTGTGATCATTCTATAATACACAATTTAAGCCCGGGGGAGAAATGCTAACGCTAGAATCGGCGATCGCAGATCTTTTCTACTTCATGCTATCTGCACAAATGGTTGACATTAAACATTAAAAAGACCAGGCAGTTCAGAGAGAATCAAAGGAAGGCAGGCAGCTTTGCATGACATTCTTCTGGACGTGTTTCATTGTGGTGATAGTGAGGGTAGTCAATCGTTTTGTTGACAAGACAGTAGTGACGGCCATCTTGGTGACGTGTGTTGTTCTGCGAGACCAGAGATGTAGGCCGTTTCTCAATCTCGAGGATTCTGGCTTCCAAGCCAATATTTCAAGGATGCTACGTCATCGAGTGCCGTCGAAGGACTGTTCCAATCTCCTTGGCCCAGGAGTTCAAAACTTTTAATTTAGCATTAGCCCAGCGCACCAACGGAGAGAGACTAACTTATGGCAACCAAAATAAAACATGGGAGCGGTGGAGATGAGGAGGTGTCGGCGTTCTGGCTATTTACTCGGAAGGCTTCAGTAGAAGCTGCTGGGAGTCCCAGCAGCTTCTACTGAAGCCAGTCCCCAACTCCGGGGACTTCCGGCCGGGGACTCCGGGTGGCAGTATACGCCGAGAAGTTGTTTTCGGCCTGCCATTAAACGCAAAGCAGAAGAAGAAGCAGTGACGTCAGCGGCTTCATTTGCCTAATCCTCCCTCAGGGACTTATTCTGGTGTGAACGCGATCTGTACTTAGTTCATCAGAACTAAATACTGGGAACTAAGTACGGCAAAGTACTTGGTGTGAAAGCGCCTATAATTCATTATGCTCCACAAAAACAAAAGTGGTGCGTTCCTATTAAAAGGAGCATATTGAAGACGTCCTCTGGGCCTTGTACAGTATAAAGAAAATGTGTTATTAATGTATGGCTGCTTTTAATTCTAATTCCTATGCTTTAATATTTGTTTTTACCTATTTATTTTTGTCTGTTTGTTATAATTAATTGAATATACATTCACGTTGGTAACGGTTGTCTAATTTCATGTGCAGATTAAATAAAAACACATTAAAATAGACATGTGACAAACCAATGGCTGCCTGGCAAGAACTAATGGACAACTAACAACAGAAATTCTGCAAACACTTCTGTATGTTTTCACCAGGAGTGAATTAATGTGCATTTTTATATTTATTATCATGCACAACACATATATAGTGCTAAATAATGTATTGTTACCAGACAACGCCGAAGGCTCCATAACCGATGGGGCGGTCGGGCTCCATCTCAGCGGGGCTGGGCACCTCGCTGGCTGGGTTGCTGTAGGGCTGAGGCACCGCCGCCCCTCCCCCTGTGCTCCCCCCAAGAGCTGTGGGGTGGCGGGGCGTCCCGGCTGGGGCGGTGGGTCCGGTCAGGCACGGCGTGGCGCTGAGGCCGGTGGACGGGGCTCCGCACGATGAATTGACACAGAAATACTTGTGGCCCAGCTCAGAGCCCGGGAACAAGTCTCCAACGGTCTGCCGGCCGGCACCGTGAAATGCCATCCCTTCTGTCACCAAACCCCCAGAAACACTTTGTCTGCACGTAACCAGCTAGGCGTGGAGGAAACAACTCCTAACTCAGCATGATCCACGCGTTTCCTGTGTGTGCAGACAGGGAATATAGTTAGTTTAGAAACAAATCCCACTTAAACAGTTTTCCCCTAAGGTCATAGTTTAACAGAGGGGGTCAAATATGCTAAGGATGTATCCTGTAGTGGGAGTACAACTGTTGGCATTTTTTTTTTAAACGAATTCTCAGAGGACATATTATGCTAATTTTCAGGTTTGTTTTCTGTGCCTCTACTGCAGTGCTTCTCAAAGTGTGGTCCGTGAGTATATTGGTAAAATTTCACATTTGAAATAAATAAATGTAAGTTTTCCGCACTCTCGCGGGAATATCTCCGTAATGGAGCTTAAGTTTCACTTTCGATTGCATGATAGATAGATAGATAGATAGATAGATAGATAGATAGATAGATAGATAGATAGATAGATAGATAGATAGATAGATAGATAGATAGATAGATAGATATAGCCCAGCGGAACACCTCCGTCACACATGTTGCCACCTGTTTGTACCATTTTAAGGCGATTTGTAATCTGTTCTAGAAAAACGATGTGTTTTGGGATATTTGTGGAGTTAGGTGGTCCGTGAGTGTTTTTTTATTGGTTAAGTGGTCCTTGGTATGAAAAAGTTTGAGAAACACTGCTCTACTGTGACATGTTTCCATGCTTTAAATGTTTTTCACCCTCCGTCTGAAACCAGAGCACAGTCTGCTCTGATTGGTTATCTGGCCTGCTCAGAGATGTCCCGCCCCTTAGCCTATCATGTACAATGTGTTAGAACGCTAGCCAATAGAGGCGTGAGTAGGGATGGGTATCGAGAACCGATACTAAGTCAGTACCGGTACCTGATTGAACGGTATTGGTATACCGTTAAGCCGCTGGACAAACGGTGCTGCTATCGGTATATGAATTAGGCTACTTCCTTAGTTTAAACAATTCTGGTTGGTTGGGAACCCTCATCCCGTGTGACGTATCCGGTTTGAGTACCACTCTGATTGGCCAGACGATATTAACCATTTTACCTACACGGAACAGAAGTCCAACACTAAATCAGTCTAAATCAACAACGGGCTAACGGCTACTTTAGCACATAACTGGCAAAAGCGTTCTCTTCTACATAATTTTATCATAAAAACGGTTTATCCAATGTCTCTGTGTAACTTTAAAATGATTACTGATAATCCATCATTACAATTATAAATAATAAACGGAATAAATGGATTATAATGGTTAGCCAACCGGAGCTTCCAGTTTAGGAGGTGCGCATGCAGCGTCTCGTTTTAACTGAATAATGGTCATGTTTACATGGATTTATGAACTCCCCCTAATTACCGCCCCCCTTCCAGAGACGCACTGTCAAACACACTCATACCTGCTTGGTATGACATTGAAAAAGTTACATTAAATAATAAATTTAAATTTTTTTAAATTACAATAAAATGACTGTTGTTTAATCTTCACATCTTGTAATCATGTCTATAATTTTGAGCACCAAATTATTGAAAAGTATCGATAAGAGTATAGAAAAATACAGGTATCGATAAGCAGTATTGGTATCGATAAAATCCTAACGATACCTATCCCTAGGCGTGAGTGATACATAGTGATGTCATTTTGTTATGGAAGGAAGCTCCCTTTGGAGGGAACTTTGGGATTTTAACCTTTGCAGCCCATTTACATGCACAAAAAGCCATATAACACACAACAGGGAAAAAAGCATAATAGGGCCACTTAAAGAAAATCATTTATAGTTAGTATATCATCTGGTTTGGTGACGTTAACAGTGTTCAATTCTACCTGAGGTAAATCGTTGAGCAGACTTAACCCTCATGTAGTTGACACTTTCTTTTAACAAATACCAAACACTTAAATGGGAATACTTGCTGATTTTCTTATATGATACAAACTAAATATTTTGGGGAAGTTTATTATAGGAAACAAGCATTTCAAAATGAAGTCATTTTCTGCTCTAGGAACCTGTGCTAGACATTATTGATTGATAAGTCGATAATGGAAATACCTAGTACTTGCAACACCAAGATGTAGAACATCTTAATACTTGTAACTTATCCTGGATGTTTTTTTAAAACTATAAATCACAGATTTTAAAACAAAAAGCGATTAGGAATGTGATAACATTGCAGAGACAGATGCGTTTAAAAGAAAAACATGTTTTGCACAACAACCACTTTTGCACAACCCTAATCAATATTTTTGCACATAAAAAAAAGTTACATATTTTACTTTTATATTTGTGTTATGGTATATTTTTTAACCATTTATTTAATTGCAATTTTCCTTTTTTTTATTTAAATGTTTGACTTTTACGTTGCTTTAACTTTATTTATTTTATATTTAAATACCAAGGCAATAACCCTTATTCTGATTCTGAACAAATACAAATAACTATTGTGCATACACTTGCAGAGAGAAAGAGGACTAACACGTAGAAATGTTGTAAGAATAGAAGAACTAGTGTGGAACATACAAAACCCAAATACAAAATAAATATATAAATAAACGTGTAAAAGCAAGCGTTAAAAGCCTGAAACATATCGGTGACAGCTTATATAAATACATGAAAATGTTGTAAACAGAACCATAAATTGAGACACTTTATTGTAATTAAAGTTTCTTTTTGTTTACGCTTACCTTGTTAATTAGTGAAGCTGCTCGGATGCTAACAGGATCCGGCTAGCTCAGTTGGCTAACGATGGTGAAGCGACGACTCCAAACTATTAAAATAAATGTTCCACTCGATGATAACCTCATAAACACAGACTGCAGAGTTATATCTACTCATACAAACATGTGCATCCAAGTTATTGTATTTTTCGTTAAAAATGACTGATAAATAAAAACAGCTAGCCACTGGGCTAACCAGCTGTTCCTGCTAATACCCGAGGATGACCCAAATAACTATCATTGGTCGGGTTCATTGACCTACATATTCAAAAAGAAAACATTTCATTGGTCATTTAAACTAACAAACATACATATAAAACGTCGTTTAAAATAAACTTGGAATGGCACGGAAACTAATTTTAAAAAAGGCCGAAAAAAGCCGAGATTAGATGAGGGTCTCAGAAGCTCCTACCCCGGCTAGCCGACAAGCTAGCTTTGGGACCGCCTGCTAGCTGGCCATCGCGTCGTAAAACACGCCGAACAAGCGTCCCATTAAGGCAGTTTCTTGTGTTTCCTGGATGAAATATATCATCCAGGATGCCCTGTAATGTTCAGTGGTATTTTTTTAAAGAGCTATGGTCGCCTTCACAGCGGCTAGCTGGCTAGCTTGTTAAGTAGGAGGAGTTGTTAAATTCGCCGGGTGGGGGAGGGTGATGCTGTTCTGCCTGCTGTAAACAATGCTAATGTTAGCCTAGCTTCACAACACTGGATGGGCAGCACGTACTCAAATACTTTACTAAAAACTAATACCAAAATACTCTCTGAAGTAGACGTCCTGCATTCAAAATCGTCACAAAGGAAAAGTATTGGCATCAAAATATACTTAAAGCATCAAAAGTGCTCTTTATGCAATAATAATATTATGTTATTGTTTTGTAATTATTGATGAATTAATGTGTTTACCCCAGTCTATGGTTTACCCCTTTGACCCTGCACCTGGTACCTTTGTGTAATAGTACATACTTTATTACATTTTCTATTATCTGAATCTGCTAAATAATTGAATTTGTTAGTGAATATATGTTCTGGTCATTATGTGCATTTGATTTAATTGATTTTCTCGATTAATGTTTAGTAGGCCTATATATTAATGTCTTTTGTATTTTATATTTTTTATACTTCATCCCTTTTTTCAAACTTGCAGCATTTTATTCTATTAATGTATACTTATTTTGTTGTATTTGCTCTTTTTAATTGTTTTTACTTGCATGATGTTTTCCTTTTTTTAAACACAAAATGTTTGTATACATTAAATTAGAATAGTTGTAAGAATCTTCATTGCATTCATCGTTGAGCACATAGTAAGCAATTGACAACAACAATTTACATTTGAATATTAAAATAATTATAAGGACAGCAGCCAACCTTCACATTTGTGACGTTGGAAATATGAAATGTTTTACATAAAAAAGTGACTTCAATAATGAAGAATTTTACATACCATTTAAAAAACTAATTGCTTAATGGCCCGTTCGTTCTTAGCTTTTATTTCATTTGTCTAGTGGGAAAATCTTAATTTGCAAAATTACTTAAGATTTCAAATAGATGTAGTGCAGTAGAACATTTGAGTCTCATTAAAAAAGAAAATACTCAAATAAAGTACCTTCAATTTGTACTTGAGTAAATATATTAAGTTACTTTCCACTGCTGACATTCACCCGGACAGATGATTTCCACTTAAACCCACACATGCATTTTACTGCTTTTTTAATACAGTAGTAACGAGGCGCTATGCACTATGCATCAATTACAATCAATATGCACAGCCACAGAAAATGTGTCACCAAGGTAGCTACAAATCACATGGCAAATGTACCTTTTTCAATAATTACAAATCAGCATCCAGAGACAGAGCAATGACCATATGAAGCACATTCATGTTCATGGAGGGGAATATACACAAATAACGTATTATTAGTTTGCCTTTATCCGCATTATAAAAGTGTATTTACATGATGGCCCGTGTGAAATAGCTGACCCATGTCCTGTGAGGTGTCCGTGCTCTGCAGAATCGGACAAAGGAAAACTGGAGACTGTTCAAATAAATTATATTATACTGATAGTATCAATAAATAAGTGGGAAACTGATCAAAATTCATGTTAGGTCAATCTCATTATAAATAAACACTGATATCATGGAATATAAATAATCCAGAAACAACACCGACTTTACAAAATCTTGACAGGCTGTTGAAAATTAAAACAATGACATGATGAAAATAGAAACAGCTAATCGCTAAGCCACATGAATAAAAATACACGTAAATGTTTCTCCCTAATGATTGAGCAGAGGTTTTCCTTATCGTCTTTTCCACAGTTTCTCGCTTTGACTCGGCTGATTTGCACAGGCGCGGAACAGTTTGCAGAAAGTGTCTCTCAGCTGTTTAACACTGATGGAGCTGGAAGTAAAAGGTCACCAAAGGCCGCCGTCCTCATGAAATGACTACCAGCGCCGAGCAGGAAACACCACCGGTCTGTGTTCACTTCTGGATATGAAAACATCTGGAAAGTGAAAACAAAAGCATGTTAATATTACAAAATATGATCATGAATCATCAGGTTTAAACAGCTTTACTGTTTCTGTAAAGGGCTGTTTTTTGAAATTATTAATATGCCATTACTTCTTTTAAGTTTCAGTTCTCTATTACAGAAAAACCACTGGCTCGATTTTCATGAAACTTGTGGAAGTGTGTCACCTGGACCAAGGTAGAAATCATTTCATTCTGAAGCAGGATGACAGAAGTTTTCATAAGTTGAAAATAATATGTGTATCTTCCCCTAACAAATCGTTTTTTTGTCTGTCATAGTGTGTGTATTCCTATATGTATATTATATATTTATTTTATACAAATGTTATCATCCTTCTCGTGAAATGGTTATTTTATTATTTGCTCATCGATTCAGCAAGCAAGCACTCACGCACTCTTTCATTTTTCTGCTTCTTTTAGATTTTATGAATTGTATCTAGTTATTTTTTTTTGTAATGTCATTATTAGTTGTTACAATTATATATTGTACATGTTACATTCACACTAATAAAGAATATTGCTTTATCTTGAGAGAGAACACTGTTTTCACGCCCCTCCCTCTGCTGATTTTGGATACATTGTTCACCATTTTTAAATGTAAAAAATGCTTCACTTTAGCACCAAATCTGTGTGAGAAATGGTTTCAACACAAACACTTATGAAACATAAAAGAGCATGGGGATGTTCATCATTTACTTTAATCATAATGCTTTAAGTTCTTATACACCTACTTTGCAATAAACCGGATTTTAAATTAAATCTAATTTCTGTATAAAGCACTTACAATGGTTTAGTTAAATGCTCAACCATTGTTCCTCCTTTGTTTATTTCCGTAACATTATGACATCACTACGTTACAATTGCGCTTCTATTGGCTAGAACTCCAACACATTGAACGTGGTAGGCTAAGTGGCGGGGCATCTCTAATGGCGCGTTTCCACTGCAGCGGGTAGCTCGCTTTAAGCGTGCCGAGCCGTGCGATGCCCGTTTTTGGTTGCGTTTCCACTTGGCCTAGTTTTGGCCCGGGGCTACTTTTTCACCTTTTTTCTGGCCCGACTAAATCGTGGTTCTAGGGCCAGGAACAACCAGGCTGAATCGGGCTGAGTATGCTAAACTAGAGAGAGGATCGCTGGCAAGGGGTCTACAACTACAACAAGATGAACATATTTGACCGTGATTTAATTGCAATACACGTTTCAAAATGATCCCGAAGTAACAACATACTGATACCGGTTAGTAAAAACCATGAATTAATGCTTTGACAAGTCTGCAGACAGACGGCAGGCGAAAAACCCTTTTAAAATGCGTGTTTTCTAAATGGAGCTTGGCTAAGCTAACGTTATATATGCTCCGACCGTCCACACTCACAACAACGGCCTATACAGACATAAATAAACCAGCGACTGTATTCTCCATGACACAGGCAGTCTGTGGTTTGTACTTGTTTAACTTTTGTCTAGTTTCTGAACAGATAGGAAGAGCTGTGAGCTCTGAGTGCTAAGAGCTAACGGCTGTGTTGTTTTTTGGGGCTCTCATTGAAGATGACGTCATGGCTCCGCCTACACTGCGTTATTATAGTAACTACCCCAGTTCCTAAACTGTAATGGAAGCGCAGTATTAAAATGAGCCGGGCCTAATAAGGCCTAACCAAACCGAGCGAGGCCTGCAGTGGAAACGCGCCATAAGTGGTTGACCAATCACAACAGAGCCGGCCAGCTAACCAATCAGAGCAGACTGGGCTCTGGTTTCAGACAGAGGGTGAAAGAGGTGCTGCAGCACAGGCAGTATGAGAACAATAAAGAGCTTTCTGAACATTAAAGTATGGAGACATGTCACAGGAGAGGCACTACATACAAATTAATCGGAAAATCAGCATACCATGTCCTCTTTAAGGATAAAACAAAAGTGTCAGCTAAATGCAAAGTAATGTTCAGGTTCCAGGTTTCCCACTAAACATCCTCATTCTCCCCAATAAAAGAAAGATGGCAGAAGATGATTCACACACCTGGATAGGATCCTGTCTCTCTGCTTGTCTGCTCCTCGTTTGTCTTTGCCTCCATCCCCAGCTCCACCCCCCCACCCATCCCACCCCCTGCCCTCCCAGCCTGCTAGCTGTGGGGCGAGGGTGCGATCCCGGAGCAGTCGGTCACCAGCAGTCCCACGCTGCTGGCGCTGGACACGGTGACGGCCACGCTGGTGGAGCCCACGGGCCCGGCGCTGGTGGGGTCGTGGCTGGGGTCGTGGCTGGGGTCTCCCTGGGCGGCGTGGGTGCCCATGTGACCCTGGAGCTGCGTGGCCGTCTTGCACTGCACCCCGCACAGCTGGCACAGCAGCACACCGCCGGCCCCAGTCCCCCCAAAGCCCCCCCGTGCCCCGCCACTCTCCTTCCACTCCTGACCGTGGTGCTTCTGAGCATGCACCCGCAGGTAGGTGAGCGTGGTGAAGCCTGGAAAACACACACACAAACACACACACTTGCTCAATATATGTATGATTTTGAAATAGCTAAACGCTCTAATTTAATACCAAAATATTGTCATCCATTATTTATTTATTTTTTCTCATAATGTAGAACCATATCTTTCATCATAATTCTGTATTGGTGGTTTTTAGAGAACTATTCCTCTTAGGGTGCATTCACATTCATTCCTCTTAGGGTGCATTCACACCTCCGCTTCTCTGCACCAGACCACAGTTTGTTTCATTTTTCAGAAGGTTCGGTTTGCGTTCACACGGGCAAAACTCAAACGGACTATAAACTTCAAACACAAGTCATGTGCACGGAAATGCTGTTCAACCATTGGTCAGACATTAAGGGGGTAAAAACGCAAATCCCGGCAATTTCTACCGGAGCCTCCGCCATGGAGCATCGGCACTTTCGGCAGGTTATTCTCATGCTGCTGTTAATCTGCAGATCAACAGACACTAGCGGCCCGCGCATATGATTATATAATCAGACAACGTCCGTTAAAAAACATTATAGCACACAATGAGAGACGTTCTGCAGTAAGGAGGGGCGTTTCACCGACGACAGGTGTTCTTACTGACACATGCATTTCCAAGCATTTGGACTACCTACGTTGCAAATGTATTATCTTTTCAATGTACACACGGCAT